TTAGCGCTGGCTCGGGCAGCTCGGCTCTTAAACAGAGCTGAAGTCTGAGTCGGGGAGGAGCAGAGCAGCCGTGGGAGAGGAAGTGCCCGTCCGTATTTTTCCCGGACATGTTCGGCTTTTTGGCAGTTCCCCCCGGACGGGGGTTTGATTGCCGAAAAACCGGACGTATGGTAACCCTAAATAAAACTCTATTCCCCCAGCCATCTTCTGACATGGTTTTCATCCTTACAGTGTGATCCTAGCCAAATATGCATTTGTAAACATTATGGAAATTTGATACCATGATGGTCCCTTGGCATGATCGTAATTGCCCTAGCGTGATAGAAATTGCACATATATTCAGCCTTTAGTTACCTGCCAGATTATTACATATTTGGTACGTTATAAGGGACAAAATTGCAAATGTATGCACAGATGGTAAACCCACAGTTCAAATTAGAAACTCATTCTTTATTAGCAAGAGTCTCAAATTAAGGCATTCCCCAAAGGAAGTTCACAAAATAAAGAACCCATGTTTTACAGCCAAGCAAGATGGTGAAATGCCAGTTGTAGATCTTCTAGTCAAACTGTTACTGACCCAATCCCCTTCATTTACATTAAAATACCAAATGCTCCATTGTGAACTGATTGGCTGAACATGTCAAAGTGTACAACACCACCTTATCCATATGTCACAATACAGCAGAACCTTGTTAATATACAAACCTGATAATTTTCACAACCACTCTGCCCAGAAGTGGAGCAAGACTCAGTCTGAATAGCAGAGTACTGTCCAGAGGCTGTGTATTGCTGAGCCTTCATTTCTTCTATTAAATAAGCCACACGCTTACTAATATAATGCAATGTATAATTAAAGCAAAACTTTTCAAAAAGTGGGATTTTTTTTTGTATGCAATTCCCTTGATTTTTGTGGTGATTTGATGAATTGCAAAATGCAATAAACTATTTTGGCTCTTCTAGCCATTAATGAGGGTCTGATGTCAATACAACAAACTAATCTAGCCCGTCCCTGGTTTACTATTCAGATGATCCTAATGCACTAGGTATTTAATTTACATTAACAAAATATGGCAATGAATGTAAATATCTCAAAATCATGAATAGTTTTTTCCTTTTTTTATGAAACAGCCATTATACTCTGACTTCTTGTACACTCAGACTGTGTTAATTCCAAGAGGCCTGGAATTTGGGATAACTGGTAGACTAATTTATGATTACTAATGCCACCTTTCCTCTTCCCCAGATTATAATGGTACTGTTAATGTACATTTAGCGGCTTCTGCTCCTCCTCCAGCTATTGGAATATAATCATTCTGCTAGGATATCTCAACTAGTCCAGTCTGGCCCAAAAGATGGAGCGCATGGGTTGGGAATCTGGGTTTCTCTTAAACTGGGGAGAACTGGTGGGTTGTTTTTTGGAGGTGTGAAAGTATCTCTTGCTAGAGGATTTGTATCTTACGAAAGTGAAGGTTTAGGGGTTAGTCTATATATACCTATGTAGGGAACAAATATTTGATGAGCTCTTCATTCTAGCAGAGAAAGGCATAACACAATCCAATGGCTGGAAGTTGAAGCTAGACAAATTCAGTTTGGAAATAAGGTGTAAACTTTTAACAGTGTGAGTAATTAGCCATTGGAACAATTTACCCAGGGTCCTGCTGGAGTCCTCATCATGGGCAAATTTAAAGTCAAGGTTGGATGTTTTTCTAAAAGAGAGATGCTCTAGTTCAAGAGCAATTACACCTCTACCTCGATATAATGCTGTCCTCGGGAGCCAAAAACAATCTTACCGCGTTATAGGTGAAACAGTGTTATATTGAACTTGCTTTGATCCGCCGGAGTGCACAGCCCCCCTCCCCCCGCCCCCAGAGTGCTGCTTTACCGCGTTATATCAGAATTTGTGTTATATCGGGGTAGAGATGTATTTTGGGAAAGTTCTAGGGCCTGTGTTATACAGGAGGTCAGACTAGAGAATCACAATGATCCCTTCTGGCCAAGGAATCTGTGAATCTAGCATGTAATAGATGTGTTAACTCTTCTGACTGAGCTGTGCGCTGATATGCTGTGCGTTGGATCTTTATTTCCTTTGCTTCCCTGAGTACTTGACACCAGGAAGACTAGGAATTGACTGACTGACTGGTGGAACCCACTAGCTGCATGGCTTTGTTTGGGGATGGAACATCAGGACCATATCTAAGGAATGAATTTCAAAACTCCCTTTTGAGGTGACTTGCATGTTGCCATCCACCGGCACCATGCTGGAAAGCTGCCCGGCAGTGTCTGAATGCTGACAGCCCAATTTATTTCAGAAACCTTATTGGGAGTTTCACTATTCAGATCAAAAAGTCCTGTTGTCTGTCTTTTTCCACTGCTCTTTGGAAACCTATGGTGCTGCAAAAGGGTCTAGGTAGTTTAGGTGAAGGGCAGTACCTGGGTAGATCAGAGGAGGATTTGGAAAATCTAATAGGACAGCTGGAGAAGAGGGTGTGATCTAAAACATGGAGTAACTTTCCAGGTAAATCTAGTCTCTTTCCCCATCCCCTTTTTACTTCCACTAGCAAGTGTCAAGACCATTAATGAAGGGGGGGGGAGGGGGTTTTGTGTGTGTGGGATCCAGTCATGCTTGTTAGTGTGTAACACTGAACATGCCTCCCTTGCTTGTATCCCCTCTACTTTGGGAATTCAAACACTTTGGCATCTCATGAGAACAAGTATGTAAGCAGTAGCAATATTTAAAACAGCAGTCTTCTCCCCCAAAGAACAGGTCCAGCACGGATGGCAGGAATGCAAACCTCTTCTTGCCAATGTGCTTCTAAAGGCCACTTCTAGTCTCAGTGTCCATTTAATCCTTGATTGCCTTGCTGAGGCTGTCAATCAGTGTCCTACTAGGAACTGGATAGAGGCCTGTGGGGCGGGAGGTTTCCAATCAAATGATACAGGCCACTAAACAACCTCTTAGATTAACTACCTTTGGTTACTACGGATCTGGACTGCTTCATTCTTAGTGTAAGTAATGCATGCTGGTATGCAGGTTTCTGTATTCCAAATAGGATTTGCATACAAGACACTGACTGTCTCTTTCACATTGCTAATTACACAAATGAAAACTGGTTAGTTATTGCTTTTGAACTCTAAGAAGCCCTTGTTTAAAGCATTTGGGTGTTTGAATTGGAACCAATACATCAGCCATCTTATCTGTCTCTTGTTCCTTCTGCAGGGTATGTCTTCTAGGGGTGCTTGCTCTAATTGTCAGTTGGGGATCCTTGGGTCTGGAGCTGGCTGTTGCAGTGGTAAGTGGCTCTGGTCTAACCTTCCCACACCCTACACTGCAGATTTATCGGGCACATGAATAAATGACTCCCAGTGCTCGTGTCTTCATGAGACTTCTGGTTTTCAGTAGCTGTCCTAGTAAATAACATGTGAAACAGGTTCAGAAATTATACCTCCATAGTGCAGTTTGCTAGCTAGTATCCCAACTCCACTCTGGTGCAAGGCTAGGCAATAGATCTGTAGAAACTGCTTCTGGGGGGAGGTTGGTGAGATGGAAGACTTATGGGGCCTGGCTTCTGGCATATCCCCAAACTTGAGAGCCTCTAATGAAGGATTCCCCGACATAGATATGGCTGAACCTTTGTATGGTATACTTGACTTTCCTTTTTCTTCTCTCCAGGGCTCCAGTGACTTCTGTGTTAACCCTGATGCCTACATCTCTAAAGTGGTGGAGGATTATGCAGTGCTCAGTACTGGTAAGTACTAGAATTGTGACTGGCTCAGATACTTCGCGTAGTAGCAGAAGCTGGCACTGAGGGTAGCGCTGGTGACCTAGTATTTGAGGCTGGTATTAGAAATGGAGATAAAATGCTGGGAAAAGCAGGGAGAATTTAAAGATCTGAAAAGCCAAGACCCTACAGGAATCTTCCCCCGCCCTCCTCCCCCTCCCCAAAGACTTTTCTCTCACAGACAGGCATATTCAATGATCTCTCCTTTTTCATTCTGTATCTTAATTCTTTTTAGCTGTGAATGGAAATACATAGATGCAGAAAATCTGAATTTGGGGTTTAGACTTCTGTTGGATGCTAGGAAGTACAGAAACAGCCAAGTTATTTTTTTTTGTTTTTTTTTTACTTTTTAGGAGATTCTATTTCTTCTGGTCATATTCAGTTCAGCAGCCAAACAGGCCAAAACAACATTGCAGAGAGTAGTATGAATTTCCCTCATCTCCCAGAATACAGTGTTTAACTTTGACCACTTAAGTGCTGGTTTTGTTCACATTCCAGTGCCGATTGTGTACCAGAATCATCCTAGTTCGTGTACTTATCCTGCATTAGGAGCGATGACATTTGTGTTAAAGAATTTACCAGAGACACCGGCTTGCAAGCTGAAATATGAAAATAGTATTCCTTGAAATAGTTTGATCATTTGGATAGTTGCACTCTAGCAAAAGTGATGTTTACATTAAGTGTTGGACTCCTTGCAAGACTTTGTGTGGGTTCTAGAGAACATAGTCCAGCTGGCAGCCTAGTTTTACAAGCTAACGTATTTATACAGCTTTAGTTGTCTTTAATTCTCATCTGCTTTTAAAATAGAAGGGTTCGGCCAGGTAAATAGAAAATGTCGCCTTTGACCTTCTCAGCCCTCCCTCCAAATAAATTCTGCGGATCTTCCTGAAAACACATGATTAGTTACTGAAATCAAGGTTTTTCTGCCTTGGGGTCGTTGCATAAATACCTCATAGCCATGGGAAGCAAGAGCTCATGCCTCTTTTATTACACTTAGCAGCCGCACAGCATGACGCCCTCATGACAAAGGGATAATGGAGCACTTACGCAAGCAGTGCTTTAATGGCTTTTGGATTGGAGTCCCAGTAGCTAAAAGTCCACATTGTTAAACTGCTGTTCAGAACTGTGATTCACTAGTAGGTAGAGCAACCGATTGCTGTATGAGCCTCTGGAGAGCAGTGGCTGGCTATTCAGTTGGTATGTGATTCTGATTGCAACCTAAAGAAGAGGGATCTTTAGGACTGGGTGAGATAATTATCAAAGCAGCATAGGGTCAGATTAACTATTTTACACATCTATCTTATGCTCTGAGTCCAGCTCTGTTTTATGGTCAAACAATTCTAGGGAGCAATTAGGGTATTGGCCCATAAAGGGAGATGCTGACAACTATGCAGCTTTGGTTTTGTGTTATGAAACATTTTAAAGAAGTTTCATAAGTATAAAGCTCCAAATCCCAGCCTTCTGGCTGTATGTTGCTGTTTTATGTGTGTGTCTCTGCTATTAACAGAGTACTGTGAAACTGATAAGGAATTAGAAACGTTACTCTGCTGATGGCTGGCGGTTCAGAGATTGGAAACAGGAAATGTTTGTGGAAGGAGGTAAAATTCTGTGTAAAACGGTCTGTTAGTATTCTCGCCCTCCGTCTCAATCTTGGAATGCCTTATTGATCAAACACTCCGGGGAAGGAAGGAAGGGATTCCAGCTCCTTTGTTTATAGAGGTCTTAACTACAGGAGCCCTGTAATCACAGTGAACTCATTGCCTTATTTCATTTCTTTGCACAGTGATCCAGGCCTGTGCAAAATGAGAATTCTCTCTCAATTGAGAAGATGACCAAGACTGACTTTAGACACTAGGCAGCTGCTCTTCATTTTCACTAAAGGTGACAAATGGGTAGACGGGGAAACAGCTATTCCTGACTGTTCACTGATTCAACTGTATGCAGTTCAGCATGGGTGCGGTACCAGGAACCCGTTAACTAGCTCATTGATAACAGGGAAGATAACCCTGAAAAAGCAAAGGAACTCACCCTCAGGAGGCACCTTGGAGTATGTTCCTCCTTCACTTGACCTTGCCTGATTGGAGCCTGTTAATTTTCCCAAACTGAATAGTTGCTTTGGAGGTTAAGACTCCTGCTGCTGATTGAAGCTGCTGCTTCTCCTCAGTAGGGGCCGCCGACCCTTCAATTAAATGGGTATCTGTTGTGCTGGCACAACCACCTAGAAGTTTAGCATACCATTCTGACGGCTCCATAAGGCTAGTAGATGGGTCTAAATGGGACACTGAAGGGAGTAGGAACTACAGGCTTTGCCATGAGGTTGTAGTTAGCAGTGTGGCCTGTCCTATATGGGGTCACTAGAAGATCACCCAAGGCTCATGGGAGGTGATTTAATTTGTTCATGAGCTCCCTCTCCCTTTTTAAGCAGTGAGTTGGTCTTAATGGCTTCATTCCTGAGCATTCCATCACATTGGACTGCATGGGGGAGATGGCTAAACACAAGGATGAGACTAAACTTGAAGTGATGCAAGTTTAGTCTCTTCCTACAAGTTACTGCAACTGCATTTCCTATACCTATTTCCAGGGTGCTAGGCAGATAGCCCCTGTCCTCATTATCAAGTGTGTGATGTGCACTTGAGCCAGAAGGATAATCCTGAGAGGGCCAGTGCTGGGATCGCCGAGGTCCACTCAAGGACCAGCAAAGGTGCATCTAAAAACAGTAACTTAAGGCACACCATCAGCTTGGAGCAGGACTCTCTCTAGTCCATTTTATTTTTTCCTCTAGTAATTTTCTTAAATATAAGAAACAATGCAATGAGCAAGACACTAATCATTGCCGCCAATATCCAGACAAAGGAATGCAAATATGTATGATTGTCTGCTTTTAACTTCTGACAATTTTTGGACTCGTGAAATGCCTGCTGCAGGATTAGAAGTGATATCAGAAATATAACCTAGAAAACATTTTTAGTAATGCCAGGTGTGAAAGACCTTTTCTATCATAACTGCACTAGTGCATCCATGTGACACCAAACTTTGAGGAAAGGTTTAATTCATCTCCCTAAGTTCCATGAAATAGATGCTGACCTCTCTAACGAGTATAATACTTGGAAATGGGAAATCTTTCTTACACACAGTTTATTCAGAATAGTCCAGATTTTTTTTTTTTAAATGGTGGGGAGACTAGCTAACTACACAAAAGAAGCAGTGAAAACAACTGTATACAAAGTGTTAGTGCAAAGAACACCAACTAGGAAAAGATTCTCTATTCTCCCAGGAGGCTTACTTTGTACTAATCCTTCAGCTATCGTCTTGTTCTGCATTACTCCTAACCATGCTAGGTAAATGTTTTTCCAACAGAAAGGTTAAGTTCATAATATCCCTTATTTTGTTTACTTGTTTTCAGTACTTGTACCCTATTTGTTGGTTCAAGGATGGCTCCCAGTGGGCTTTATCACCCTTACAGGTATTTGCCCTTGAAACACCGTCTCTTTGGCGGATGCCTAGCTAAGGCTCCCTTCTTGGAACTTAGTCAGTGTCACATCCAAATTAAGCAGAGTCCTGGTAATGCCAAGTCACCTCCCCTTTTTTCTTCAGTCCGAGGGCTTAGAAGGCAGCCTCCCAGCCCTGCTGACATGGCAGGCAGTCCAAGGTTTCCCATGTAGCTGTGTGGCCTAGGTTCATTTATTTGATGCAATAACTTGTGTGTAAATTACGGGAGCTTTCTAGGAGAAGGGGGCATTTTCCTGGAGAAGCTGGGCAGCAGGACTAAAACTGCTTCTGTGTTAGTATTTTCAGCGGTTCCCAAATCTAAACAGAACTAATGGCACTGGAAATAATCTGATTAAATGCATCACTATTGTCATCACTCTTGAGCTAAAGAGAAGACTCAGTTTATTTACTGCTGCAAAAAAAGGACCAGAATTCTTAAAACAAATCTCCTAAAAGAGGAGAGAAACTTAATCATTTTGTGTGAGGCTAGTGTGTGTCTGGCTTATCTGGTATTCATTAATTGAGAGAGCCAATGGAATTGAACACTGACTGGATAATCACCTCTTTTTTGCCAGTTTAAAAAAAAAAAAAGACCATGGTGCAGCCAACATGTTTATTTTCAAAGCAGGAGGCCATCTTCTAGCCTCATTCCCTTTCTCTGATATTGTTACTACCAAATGATTTATTCGGTCACATTAAATAAAAAGGTGTAATCTCTTTAGCCAAAAAGAAGACCTCTCTCTCTAGATTATCTCTTACTGGCATGCTGCATCTGGAACAGACTAGCTTATCTGAGGGACTGCATTGCTTAGGGGGTGGGTAATGGAGCTTTTCACCTCAAATCCAGACAAGTTTGGCAGTGACTGAAAGCTGTTAATGTCTTGCTGTTCAGTGGTCAACGTGAAGTGAATTTGGCTTTCATCAGTTACTAGTGGACAGATAAAAAGCAACAGAGGGTCCTGTGGCACCTTTAAGACTAGCAGAAGTATTGGGAGCATAAGCTTTCATGAGTAAGAACCTCACTTCTTCAGATGCAAGAAGTGAGGTTCTTATCCCCGAAAGCTTATGCTCCCAATACTTCTGCTAGTCTCAAAGGTGCCACAGGATTTCTGTTGCTTTTTACAGATTCAGACTAACACGGCTACCCCTCTGATAGTAGACAGATGTTCATGTTGCAAAAATTGCTAGCCCAGATGGCCTCTTATTGACTATCTCAGTACAAAAACCAGACTGAATGAACCCTGGAGATAGTTGCTTCGGGTCAGGGTTGAGGCATGGGTGGGTAGGAGGTGTGGTGGCTTATGCTGCCACTACTGGTGTTTGTATGGGGTTCATAGACAAAGTTGAGTCTTCAGAGCTATGAATGTGTTTTTGGTTTTTGTTCCTGTTTTTCCCCAAGGATACTAAATTCACCAAGTTTAGAACCCAAATTCCACTTTGTGGTTTCACTGACTTGCCCATAAAAAGCTTCAGCTAATTAGCAAGTCAAACAACAATCAGATTAACTGATGTTTAACTTAGTGTTTTCTAACCAAAAGTTTGACTTCTGCTTGCGTTTTTTTTTTTTTCCATTTGAGTGAGGTTGAAACCTTCTATTCAAAAGCTGTATAAATACCATGCAAAACCTCCCTTTCCTGTCCATCCCCAGTTCTAAGGAAACTAGATAGTAAGTGGGAATGTGACAATACCACTTGGGCAGTATGGATACCCTGGGGAAAAAAGCTACTTTCTCCCATTTTAATTATCACCACTGAAATGTCCACAGTTCCCAGTAACTAAACAGTATGGAGACAGTGCATCTTCTTACTATGATCTCCTCTGAGCACAGTACGTGAAATGCAGAGAGAAACCAGTCCAGTAAATGTGAGGAATGGCCGAAGAGTTGCAGGTTTATGGCAATCCAGTTAGGCCAAGGTCTGACTCTGTTTAAAAAATATTAAGTGACCTTTGTAAACCGCCCATGCTGCTTGTTCTCTATCCATCCTAGCATACAGGATTCCCTCTGGTTTTAAGATGCGTACCCAGAGGCCATACTGCAATTCTCCTGGGCTTCATAATGTTATAATGTGATGGCATTGAACTGTAAGACTTCTATGTATGCAGAAGTGAGAAGCAGATTCTAGCAGATGAAACTGACTTTGTTGCTGGTAGCCTGTTTCAATTTCCTTTCTAGGGAGGATTTCAAATTGAGGCTTTTATCAATTGTTCCCTTGCCTTATTTCTGCTCTTTATCTTCCTTTTCCCATAGAAAGTGGGTCAGGAGGATTGCTGCCAGCAGCAGCAGCAGGCACGAGCAGCTGCAAGTATGACCCTTCTCTTGGAGACCGCTTAAAGGCCAGTTTCAAAAACCACCTCCAGACTTTAGGGATTGGCCTGTAGTATTTCAAGCTGAAAGGATAAAACTAAACTGACATCTCCCCTAAAGGGGTAGAAAGATGACTTTTGAGAACCGATGAAGTTGCCATCAATGTGCTTATGGCAGCTGACAGAATTGGAGGGCCGTATTCTGGACAGATGTCAGGAGAATTCCCCTTGTGTATGAAAACTCTTCATCATTGTTACCCCCTTTTTGGACCAGAGCAACTAGTCAAACTGGGGATGTTCCAGTTGGGGGTAAAAATTGATGATGGAGTCTGGTATTTTCTTGGTCTATTCCTTATAAACAAACAAGACTGCATCCAAGTCCCGCTTCTCTGAATGCAGGAGAAACCAAGAACAAAAGGAGCAGGTTCTCCACTTACACACTCAAGCTTCTTTCAATCTGTGCGCGCGTGCATACACGCACGTGCTTGCTCTCAGAAAAATATCCAGTGGAACTCTCTGCCCACATGGTGCTTGTTTCTGGGCAGACTTCATTTGCATGGGCGATGTGCCCCTCCTGTGTTTTGGGGAGGCTGGCCCTAGTGCTTGAAGCTCCCCTTGGTGCCCGGACTGTGACTCGTTCCCCGCCCCTACGCCCCCACTGCCTGCCGTGCTCATCCCTCCTCTCCTCCATACCCCTCTTCCCTGCGAGGCCGCCGCCATTTGCGCTCTCCACCCCAGTCCTGAGCTGAGTGCTCACCCCACCCAACTTGTTCAAGAACAAAAACACAAGGGGGAACATTTGCTGCCCCCAGGTGCCCCTAATTACCACTTGCTGCTCACCAGTAGGAGGGATGCAGCAGATGGAGGGGGGCCACCATGACCCAGGCATCTGTGCTCTGAAAGGCAGAGAGTCAGCCGCTGCACCACAGAGGAGGCTTAGCCTCCCCTGGCCTATTCTATGTGCTGCCTATGTTCATTCAGCCTTATTTTAGGTGTGGCCCCTTCTGTCCTTTATAGCAATCTTAAATGAAGGGAGTGTTCACACCTAAGTTTCAACCTATAACCAGGTTGAACCCAGCTGAACGCCAGCGGGGGTGATTTAGCCACCTTCCACATCAGCCACCCATGTGCTAACCCATCTCCAGCATAAGGGGTTGCTGGGGGTGGGCTGGGGGGGGCTAAGAAGGGTGTGTGGCAGGAGCAGAGCACTTTAATATGTGTCCTTGGCTAGTGTGGGGTGACTTAAGGATTTTATGCAAGAGTCCTAGTTTGGAGCAGGTACTCAGACTTGCACTGGGAGCCGCAACTGGCTTCTCAGCAGACTTCCCCACTTCTTCCTTGCAGCAGAGCTGTGCTCAATGCAGTAAAGAATCTACTCCTACAATCTTTGCCAGACAAATGACTGGCAGTTTAGAAATCTCTCATAAGTTCTAATGCTTTACTACCAAAACAAGAGCTAGTAGTTAGGATGCCACAATCCAGAGATTGGGGTGGATGGGGAAGAGATTCACTTCTGAGCAGAGCACTAGTAATCACATGAACTGAAGCCAGTAAACTTTGATGCCATGCCCACAGTGTCCAAAATATGACTGGGAAGCTTTTGGACGGTTTGCCGAGTGAAGCTTTTTGGGCATGGCGGGGAGGGTCCTGTGCAATTTGGTGCTGTTCCATCTTGCAGTCACTGTGCTGTGTTTTTTCCAACTTGAGGGTACTGTGGACTATGCATGATATTCTCGCTCAGGAAAGGTCTATTTGCTAGTGTAGGCCTGGAATAAGCAATCCCTTCTGATTCAGAGTGTGCACACAATCCACTTGTGGTATGATCCATTCAGTAGCACACGCTATCCTATTATCTGCCCAGTTTTTACTAATTGCTGTTTAATGGCTCGGCTGAGCTGTAGAGAAGTCGTCCCAGAGCAAAATTCAGTGGGGAGAGATGGAGCAGCTGGTGGAAGCAGTCCCAAAGTAGGCTAATGAATTATAAATAACAGCTGTCAGGTTCCATTGCCAGCATGCAGGAGCTAACAAGCTGCGTTGTACCGCTCAGTCCCAGCGTGCAGACAGGCGCGATGAAAGGTGTATGCAATATTGATGGTAAGTGCAGCAGGAGCAGGCCTGCTCGCCTTACTTGTTGGCTCCCTCACATGGCTTTTACTTTCTCTGGTCTTCCTTTTGAGCCCCACAGTGAGGAGTAGTTGGAAAAGTCACTTCTCTCTCAATGAGTCTTCATAGTGTGTGGGGAAAAGATCGATCTGCAAAATGCCCCGATTATTATTTTTGTGTGTGGGAGGGAAGAGTTGTCTGTTTTATGCATGGCTATTCTAAACTGACTTCCCTTCTGAGAAGAGGCAAGAGAGGCTGGCAAAATGAATGCTGGAGAGGAACTGAGATCTGCAAACAGGTTTAAAATGAGTCTGAAGGGATGGGAGCTGTGGAAAGATAAATGGTCATTTACAAAAATCCCCTCTGTGGCCTCATCAAGGATGGCTTAACGGAATCCTGATGTTTAACTTGCATGTGCTAATTTCTCCATCCCTCAAACTGGTAAACCTTTGTAGAGGTCTAGGTGGGCATCAGGTTTACCCTAAAAAGAAGGATCAGGACTACATTTCCATGCATTTGACAGGCTGACCTATCCATGTATAGGGCTAAATGTATTTCCCCGAGGGTGGTGGCCACTGTAATGGGGTTAGCTAGCAGGGCATGACTTGGTCAGAGGCTGATTTTTACCACAGGGCAAGTTTCAGTAACATTTGGGGTGCTATGAGGAAGTCTGGTGATATTACCTTGTTCGCAAGAACCACCCCTGTTTCCAGTACCCTGGCATGCTCCACTGCAGAGGGAGTTTTCCTGTAGGTTAAACCTGCAGTGAACTCTGTTGGCTGTGTGCAGAAAGCACCTTTTTGAGCAAGCCAGGAGAGAGGTATGAAAGAAACAGTGCATGCTAAAAGCTGGGTTTTAATGATGTGTGCGCAAATACTAGTAGGGGAAGAGTATGATTCATCTCTAATTTATGCTAGAAGTCTTCCATTCTGCAGCTCCAGCCTCCATTTCTTCCTCAGGCACTTTCCAGGCTGTGCCCCTCTCCACAGAGTACTGTTTAAAAACCAGCTGCTCCTTCAAGTGAGGCAGAGTAAATCCATGTTGCAAAGATGTCTCCTTCCTTCATTCTCTCGTGTAAAAATATGTATTCAGGCAGCTGTGCTTACAGCAGATGTGTAGCATAAGCACCGGTGTGCGCACACTCTTCCATGTTAGTGTAATTCTCTCTCCTAACATAGGATCACAGAAATCAAATCTCAGACTCCAGCCCAGTGTCCTGTCTGAGTGCCACTGAGTAGGGTGGCTGATTTTGATTCTGCACAGCATTGGTGGTTTTTGTCCTCATGGCTCACTTTCCTGCATAGGTGGGAAAGTCTCACTCCATTTATTGGAAAAAATGCAATAGGGTCCGCTTTTAGCATGGTTTTACTTTATTGCAGAACTTCCCTTCGGTGTCTTCCATGCTCCGTAACACCACAGAGGAGGGAAGAAAATGGGTCCACTCACACTTTGCCTCTAACACTGCGTATCACTATTAATGCTCTTAGAATTAAATCTTCCCTTGCAGCAAGCATAAGAAGGCTCAAAGTGGGGAAAAAATAAATATAGCCTGATTTCTATTATTTGTCTTTGTCTTGATAGATACTCTACGCTATTACCTTGCCTGTAATGCTGGATATCCAAACCCCTTTCAGCAGGTGAGTATCTCAGCTCACACCCTTCTGTTGCCACAAGCTGCATTTCAGTGGGGTTGGATTTAAAACGAAAGATCGGTCCTAGAGCGGGTTATGAGATTGTTAGCTTTGTCTAAACATCAGGGCTTTTCCCAGCTGAGTCACCCCCTTCTTTCCTTAAAAGGAAAGGACTTTCAGATCTAATGGTGGTTCTAGCTTGTGGCCTGTAACTGTGCCATCTCTGGCTGCGATCTCCTCAGCTCTCCAAAGGGAAGCAGGGTTGGATTTGGTCAGTACTTGACTGGGAAACCTTCCAGGGGCTGTGAGAAGTGGTATTAGTGCAATAAGAGGCTCACATTTCTTAGGTCAGGCACACACATTGTTGTTGGAGGTGCCGCTGCTCAGGTGAGATGTGGTCAGGACCATAGTTTTACTTTTTGCTTATGGGGCACTTTTTTTTTCCTTGAGTGGAATCGCTTTCTTTCCCACTAATCTGACCCTGGCTGTATTTCTATGTATATTTAAGGAGACCAGAAAGTACAGACCAGAAAGCTGATTCCATCCTGTGCTTTTTGAGCTGAAGAAGTGGGTTATGTGGAGACGCAGCTAGTTTACCCTGGATTACCAGTCATGTAGATGATATCGCCATACTTGGCAGTGGCAGATCCTAAATTCCTCTGTTGCGCATAGCCTGGCTTGCCCCTCAAGACTGACCACGTTCATGTTCATTTTGAATAGAAGCTGTCAGGAAGTCACAAAGCCCTGGTGGAGATGCAGGATGATGTGTTGGAGCTGCTCAGGTCAGCCGTCAGAGAGTACCCCACCTCCAAGGTAAAACATCTTCAACTTACCTTCTGAAAGCACTGGACGAGTCAAGGATGTGTCCCCTCAACATGAGACCCTAAGTAAGCTCTTGCAAAGCCCTTTTGTTCTATTAATCTCTAGCTTGTTGCTTACAGGAGTACCTTACTCGGATACAGGAGGTTCTAAACTCCACCGAGATCAATTTGCAGCACCTGACTGCACTGGTGGACTGTCGTAGTCTTCATTTGGTGAGTATGGAGAATCAGTGTCTGGAGCTGACAAATGTTCACTGTCTTGTGCGGATACAGAGCCCCAGAGTGCTGAGCTCTTTGAGGGTCAGAGTACAAAGCTGTCTGGAGCATCAAAATACAGTAGACCGTTTGTCTGGCTTCGCTGCTCCACTTCTACAGAGGGCAGAGAATCTGTTTTGAGATGGTGGGGGTGGGGTTTTTTGTGTGCGTCTTAATGGCAGATTAGTGTAGGGAATTAGTTGGTGAACTTTTGTGCTTCTACAAATTGCAGCACTGAGGCTTCATGGACCTTAACTCTAAACTTCATACTGTTCTCAGTCCGATGCCTTTCACATGTATAGCGCTTTGTAGTGATAGAGCAAGATTACCATGTTGGTGAGTGAATTGCTGCTTTGCCAAGATGTACAGTTAAATTTATAGTCCAGGTCTAGCTGTGCACAAGTGTAGTGGGGCACTGGGTGGAAGAGCTGCAGAACTGGAAATTGATGTCTACTGATTTCATGAGTAATAGTGAAACTATGGAACAGACAGACTTACCTTGATCTTCCTTTTCTATATGTATGACTGAGAATACAATAAAAAGAACAGGAGTACTTGTGGTACCTTAGAGACTAACACATTTATTTGAGTATAAGCTTTCGTGGGCTACACCCAGTTCTTCGGATGCATAGAAGTGGGCTGAAGCCCACGAAAGCTTACGCTCAAATAAATGTTTTAGTCTCTAAGGTACCACAAGTACTCCTGTTCTTTTTGCAGATACAGGCTAACACGGCTGCTACTCTGAAACCTGAGAATACAATGTACATCTGTTCCTGAATGGAGCCCTGTGTAAAAACAAGGGGATTGGTTAGCTTTTAAAAACAAATCTTGAGTCCAATGAAACCAAGCAAATTACATTGTGGAAAATGGCTGTTTTTAGGTGGTGAGCCAGAATCCAGGTGATGGGATTTTTGGAATATGGAAATTGCAGTGTTACTTTTTATGGTGAACCAAGAGGCTCTGCTTAATTTCTCCCTTTAGGATTACGTCCAGGCTCTGACAGGCTTCTGCTACGATGGAGTGGAAGGGCTCATTTACCTGGTTCTCTTCTCCTTTGTCACGGCTCTCATGTTCAGTTCTATTGTGTGCAGCGTCCCACACACTTGGCAGCAAAAAAGGTATGCAGTGGGATTAGGTACAGTCTGCTCACACTGTTGGGTTATAGAGCTGTTTCCTAATGAAAGCTGGCAATTGGACTTATGCCCGTCAGCACATAGAACTCCTTACCATGTGTGCTCTAAGAGCATGAGGGATAAGTTGTTATAAAACGTAGGCCCAAAGGGGGGAGGATTTGTTAGCCTTAAGTGTGTCAGTTTAATTCAGAACCCTATTACTGTATAACTCTCTATATAGGCACCATAGAGGGTATTTGATGGTGTGCAGAGTGAGACTTTTATTAGTCTGAGTTAGAGATTAATGGTATAGTTCTAGGGTGGCAGAGGACAGCAATACTTGAACTGTACAATACCTATTGTCTTCCGTTGCATTTACTGGGAGAGAGATCTGAAGTGGTGAGGATCGGGTCCTGCTCACCTTACTCCCTCAATTCCACTGACCTCAATGGGACTTAACTGCATGACTAATGTAAGCAGGATATGGCCCCAGCAGTAATGAGATGACCAAATAAAAAGTACATCTATTATTTTGTGGCACTAAAGGAATCTGAGACCTGTTGCTATTTCTAATGGATATGTAGTGGTGGTAACTAAAGATGAGATGCTCAGGCAACTTGTGGAACTCTTTGCTAGAGGATGTTGAAGGCCAAAACTAGAACAGGATTCAGAAAAGAACTAGATAAATTCATGGAGGATAGGTCCATCAATGGCTATTAGCCAGGATGGGCAGGAATGGTGTCCCTAACCCCTGTTTGCTAGAAGCTGGGAATTGGCGACGGGATGGATCACTTGATTACCTGTTCTGTTCATTCTCTGGGGCACCTGGCATTTGACCACTGTCAGAAGACAGGATACTAGGCTAGATGGACCTTTGGTCTGACCCAGTATGGCCATTCTTGTGTTGTTACGAGACTAGGATTTATTGGTCCATCTGTCATAGGGCCAGTTGTCGCATTGGTTTCTGTACAACATGTTGCATTGGCGTTTTAGCTTTCATTTGTTTGAAAAGTACCCTGTGTTGTTCAACAAACATTCATGTTCTAAATACGATTTAGGTGATTTTAAGTGTCCGAGGCTCAGTGTACAGAGCTGGAGGCACTCAAATGCATTAGGAAGACTTCCTGGGGTCGTGAGGGCTGCCCTTCCTGTTTTTTGGTTTAAAGGGGAGGGGGCACTTGGAAATATATCAATGTCTTCTGAAAACAACTGGAGGTCTTGATGCTCTTTCCATGTGCAGCAGTAAACAGCAGGTCTACATATCAACCTGGGACCTGTACGCTCTGCACTCAGTTTAGGGAGTGGCTTCTCTTACAGGTAAAATACAGTGTCTGCCTCCTTTAGTAAAACTTTACTGTCACCTTGTGGTACTGACACTAAAGGCAACTGACAAGACGTGCGATAACTTGTCTTCTAATCATAGACATTGGAGACGTCGTCCTATTTGGTCCAGCTCCCTGCCAGTGTGGGATGTTTCCTATCAGAAATCGACTTGTCCAGTGTAGTATCCTATACTGAGAAAATCCATGAAGGGGGATGGGAGGGGCCAGAATTAGGTTAATTAGTTATGCGGCAGTGATGCAATATTGCGATAGCCCAAAAATTTCTATACCACCCGCTTCAAGTGATGGGCAATGATACCTGAATCTGCTCTTCCAAACTGAAGCGGAGGTGTAGGCTGTGCAGGAGTCCACACTGACTTGCAATCTCTTTGGGTTTGCCAGTGTTAACATAATGTGTACAGCGTTCAGCTGATGGGAAATGTGTCTGGATTTGAGACTGCCTAGTGTTTCCTTTCACACTTCTTTTTTCTAAAAACAATCCTAGATTGTTGATTATAATCAAAATCTCAAGTTGTCTCTAGCAGTGTGGTTTGATTTCTGTAAATATTTAGAACAGCGTTCCCAGGATTAAGATATACATTACAGGCATATGGGGGTTTTGGTGTCAGTCTCTTCAGATTTATAAACCAGCTCTGTTGCTGTCACGTGCTTAGTCCAGAATTACATGCCTCGGTTTGAGGAGTAACCTAGTGTTCACCTATGCCTCTGATAAACACACACTGTTGCAAAATCGACTCCAATGGCCTAACCATAATGAGCTATACTGTGTGGCTCAGAATATGAGATTCATGCATCTGTAAAATGAGGAAAATGGTACTGATCTCGCTTGTAAAGCGCTTTGAAATCTGATGAAAAGTGCTGTGTAAGAAATAAGTATTATCATTTCATGACAACCTCACAGGAGGCGCATGCTGTCTGCTCCTGATAGGTTGCTCACTGGTTTAGATCATTTGGCTGGGGGTGGGACTACATGTCAGGGAGGGAAGAAGAATCAAGTTGGTTAAGGAATACTGCACCAGGGGAAAAAAGATATATTGGGTTCAGACAGCTTAGAGGAGATGGAAGCAGATGTGGTTTCTCTGGAATCCTAGATCAGCAGGTAGAGAATAGTTCTGAAGTAGGATATCATGCGAGATTTACTAGTCTGTTTCTTCCTTTGGTATTCTGTTTGACTACCAGTTGGCCTTCAGCTGAAGGTTTGGTGTGTAGCAGTGCTTGGAGAAGTGATTGCTTCTCATTGATTGCATATTAAATGTGTCCTGTTAACAAACTTTTTTGCCAACTGCAAACTCTATCTAGGTTCTGAGTTGGTGGGGTTTTTTTGTTTTCTTTTTTTGTTTTAAGTTTTTTTTCACATGCATCATTGCTAGTAGTGAAGGTTCTGCAGGGTAAACTCTTCCAATCTCTGTGTTCATTGGGTTTACACAGATGGAAAAGATTGTTCCAGTTACTAGGCAATTTTGTTATCCAGAAAGAAATAGGATTCAGATGCCGCTCTCATAGCTGGGGGGCTCTGCAGGGCTTAAGAGTAAAAATAGCAGAAATACATGTGTGGATTTTAACAAATATATAACTGTTGCACACAAAGGGGAGATCTGTTGAATAAGGTGGTGCCATTGTTACATAGAGCTTGATGTACAGTTCTCCTTTGAAAAAAGTGACTAAGAACTAACTCAGTTCATAAAGTTCATGTTTCTCATAAAATCAATCCTTCCATTCCTACAAAGTGTAGGATGACTTACCTTTTTATAACCCCGAAGGTATAGGTATAAACATTGACCCCAAGAGAACAATAGTCCAAACAAATACATCAAAATCAGATGTTTAAAGTAGCAAGGGCTCTAGGCAAAAATGCCTTAATCCCACAGTAGCTAAGCCCTATTGCACTGGCTTCCAAAAGTTTTTTTTGTTATACGCACTGAAGTAGAAAGGGACCTTTTTTTTTATAGCCACTCTGAATGGAGTTCTCATTGTCTTCAGTGGGAGTTCATAGTATAGAACTACTGCAGAATCAACCTTCTTATCTTACGGTATGTCACATGGAAGACCTCTGGAAATCAGTTCAAGAAATAGACATACACGGCAAAGTGCAACTTCAGTATGTGTATGAGGGAGACCTGGTATAAGGTTAATACTGCAACCAGTGCCCCATTTAAACAAGCGCCGAGTGTTCTTGGATGTGTCCACACTCCAGTTCATATGGTTGGGGGATCTGTGGAGTTGCGTTCTCTGCCAAGCCCTGTGGGAAGGACTTTGGGACAATGTGGAAAACGTTGCAGTCTGAGAAAGTCCAGATGGTATTTGTGGGAGGCTGAGTCACTCTAGTGGTTGGGGAGGAGATGCTTGCTGGGGTCTGTATCTATGCTACCATATTGAGGCACATGCTGACTGGCTGTTAAGGGGGATGTATGGAGGAGGATTAGAAGGTTACTGGGATTACCATGTGCTCTGGTTTCTTGCAGGCCCCACTAACATAACAATTCTAGGCTATTAGGATAAACTTTCTTTCCTACAGGAGCTCGGATGATGATGGGGAGGAGGAATCTACTGCTCAAGGGAACAGACAAACCCACGATAATCTGTACAGGGTGCACATGCCCAGCCTCTATAGCTGTGGGAGTAGCTATGGCAGTGAGACCAGCATTCCAGCGGCCGCGCACACAGTCAGCAATGCTCCTGTCACGGAGTACATGTGAGTAGCCAGGAGCGAGGAGAGGAGCCATGTTGTAGCGATCTCCATCCAAAATGCTTTGCTGTACTTTAGTTGCGGGTGTCCATTGCACAGCATAGCTAAAGAACACTTTCTGCAGCAGCTGCCCTGGGAAATGAACAAGCTCACTAACAGCGGTGTGATAAGCCTGAGAGGAAGAGTGATAAAAGGTTCTGTTTATATCGCTTGATCTTAGTGATCTTTTTACTTGCAGCATTGGCAAGTGTTTCTGTTCTCTAATATAAATAACTACTCAAGGTAGATGACTAGGAAGTACTGAGTTGCCTTGTGTTAGAGGATTTACAGTGTTGCCTATTGAAGGGATGGAGTTAAGTGTCACCAGTTTCTATTACGAGTCTTGTTCCTTAAGGACTGTTCAGAGAGGTAACTGCTTTGCAAGAGAAGTGTTAAGCCTCCCAAGTGGTGGAAATCCACATGACAGCAGCTTTAGACTGTCCACCCCAAGGCAGCTGAGGTCAACAGTCTTTGCTTTCTAGATCCATCTAGTTCAGGCAGGGCAGTCTGAGTTTCGGTATCCCTTCTACAGAGCTCCTGCCCTGGGAGTGGCTGGCTGGCTGCAAGGACTGTCTGTGTTGGATTGGTTCATCTATCTCGTTCTCCCACATTTATTGTGGCTGTTAACTTTTGGGCAGGGAGGCTGGCTTTGTTTAGCTCTACATTTAAAAAAAAAATCAGATACTCTGGGATGGGTACTTCATAAATGGAATATGAGTGTAATCTGAGACGGACAGGCACCCATGTTAGTGTCCCATTGATCAAGGTAGAAGTGACCCATTTGGCATGTAGGGAAAGCTTTCCAGGGAATTGAATTATGACGGTTCCAGAGAGCGTCTGTGGGAGGTAATACTGCCCTGCATTGTGGGTTATCCTGTGCCAATTCCAGAGTCTCTATGCTGGAGAATGTGCCATGTGTCCTCCTATCACCATGTATATTTCCCTTTCATAGGAGCCAGAATGCAAACTTCCAGAACCCCCGCTGTGAGAACACGCCTCTGATTGGCCGGGAGTCTCCACCTCCCTCAGTAAGTGTCTGTCTTTATTGCTTCTCTGCTTCAACATCCGAGGCCAAGTTCTGCTTTGGGGATATGCACATGGCACTCCTATGTACTTCAGGGGGAGCTGATTGTGCGGCTCAAGGCAGAAGATCTGGTCCATAAATGGTGAAAAACTTAACAGACAAGGCATGTCTAAGTTGCCATTGAAAATAAAAGCCCAGATGCTACTTGGGGCATGGTATGTATGAAAAAGATCAAATTAAATATAAAAATCTAATAACGCTCTTGGCCCGTCCTGCCACCACTGAAGCTTGTGAGTAACTTTGAGTGACTTCTGTGAGATGGGTGTCTCTCACGCACAGTTACTAACTGCTTGTGGGATTGGTCCTTTAAGTTTGCAAAATAAACTGCTGAACCAGTAAACCCAAAGGTAATGCTGAATCTCTCCTTAACTTACACTGTGAAAACAAAAGGATGAAGTTTTTCCTTTTTGAAGGGTTTTAATTTTCATTTCACAACTTTCGAATTCTTATTTTTGTATCTAATTTCCTAAGGAGGAAAAAATCTTTCATGGAAGGTTCTTTGGTAATCAGGAGCTTGAAGTGGCCTCGGAGCCATTTTACTCAATAGACTAAAATATGGATTTTTATTTATGCATTTAAAAAAATAAAATTAGGTGAGTATTCACCTCTCTCCAGATGCTGTAATCTCATTACTGCAATACCACCTTTTTGCCATGGGCCGTCAGAATGCTAACTAACCAACCTGCTCATAGTTCCTGAGGATGCAGCATAGCGTACTTAATAACAGGCCATCCATTATCATTAATGAAAACCCACACCATAGGGGCTAAGCCCAGTTCACTGAGTGGGGCCTTCATACAACAAAAGACTCTTCTAACTCTAGAAGAGGCAAAAGTGGCAAACAGGAAGGCCAGCACTTATTTTTATATTTCTCATAAACTGGCCAAACTTCTTGAAGCTTGTTTAGAATGGGGAAAAAATACTTGTTCCAGGTCCCTGACATTCAGCACTTGAGCTTAGAAAGCGTTATCTGCTCTTGGCAATGGAGCTGGCTCCAGAGAAAGGTCAGCCGCGGCTTTCAGTGCGGTGTCATAAACTGCTGCTGTATTACTGGAATTGTCTGTTACAGCAAATGCACTGTCCCTTTAACACTGCACAGACCTGTTCATCCTATTCCTCTGAGGCAAGGTCTTGCCACACAGCATTTCCTACCCCATAGCTCTTCTGCCTCAGAAAAAGGAGGCTTCTTTCTGCAGGAACTCTAACCATGAGGAGAGGATTCCCTGGTTCTTCAGTAGCTGGTTGCATTAATGGCCCTGAATGTGGAGCTAAATCTTGGTGCTTCCAGCTGTTTGAGGAGAGATGCTGGTAAGGGTTTTTTCAAAAGAATTTCACTTGGGGCAGCCAGAGAGAAGGGCTATGCGGGGGGACATTATGTCTAAGTGTGGGAGGTGGGATGGAGAATGTATCCGCTTCCCTGCCTGGACCACAAGGAAGAACCCAAGCAGAGGAGGAAATGGGGTTTCTGAAGGAGAATGTACATCCTAGATAGTGAAAAGGACTGTCTGAGGGTGTTCACACACCACCTGGGTAGGAGAAAGGGAATGGATCCCTTTGTGCTTGCCACCTAGGCAGGCAGTGGGGTAGAGAGGATTCTCCAGAGTCTATGTAGGCAGATCTCTGTATTAAGCAATTGAGGCTATTTCAGGAGCGGAAGAAAAGGCTGAACCTGTTTAGTCAGCAAACGATTCCTGCTGTTTGGGGTTGCACAGAAAAAATATCTGTGTTCATGCTCCCCTGTTTGGGGGAGGGGGGTGTCCGAGATCTGCAAAAAGGAGCCACCCAAGCAGAGTAAAGAGACAGTGCATGGCCAGGACTGAAGTATCCTGCTCCGCTTTGATTGTGGGACCAGATTAAACCAAGACACAATAATCCTAGAAGAGCTAATCACCTACTGCATTGTTTGTCTATTCTTTTTTCCCCCAATCATTCCTTTCATCGTTCTCCTCCTTCTTGTCCCAGGGCTATTCCTGTAGGGTGGTAGAGCCCTCCCTATCACTGGCACACACCACAGCGTGTCACTTGCTTGCACTGTGTTTTTCATGCACGTTGAGGCTGCACTCTCTTTTTCTCTCTCTCTCCTGCATCATCACAGTTGTATTTGGCTGCCATGGACAGTAGCAGCCATATGAGCTGGCAGTTTAAGCCCTCGGACAGTGCACGGACGTACTGGTAACCGCGCCCTCAAATGGAACAGGTACTGAAATAAGGTCCTTCTTGCTCAACCCCTCCTCCACTCCCACCCGCCCCTCCATCCCTGCACTATTTACCCCAGGCCAGTGCCTTATTTCTTCACATTCCTTCTCCCTGCACCTCCCCGCATTCCCTCCTGCCAAGGGTTGAAGCTAACCAGGGTTGCCCTGGTGCTGACTAAAGGAGCAATATCAACATTTCACCATGGCAAGGCTTCTTGTATGCATTCTGACAGCCAGACATCCACACCTCAGAGTGGAGCCAAAGTCACTGCTGCTATAATCCACAGATTCCAAGTTGAAGAACAGTATCTACGCCTGGCACCAGAGAGTGCGCCAAACCAAAAGTGTTCCACCCTCTAAGCACAAGGTAGAATTACCCCCATCCTGGGTATCCATTTGGTAACGATAATGTGGCTCAACATAGCTGTCTTTTAATAAGGACTGGCTGTCTGTTACCACCTCTGGCTTCCCTTGAACCCTTATCACTACTCCTTTGCTCACCGATACGATGGCATGTGCTAGAAACCAGAGATTTTTCTGCCACTTTCATTATGTTCTGCCATAGAATCTTAAAACCAAACAATTGCTCCTGCACATTGCTTGTTAGAACGACCAGCTGTACTGCGAGCTCACATATATAGCTTTCCATTTTATCCTTGCATTCAGGGTTACAAGTAAGCGACTTTCCCCTGATGTCCAGACACAAGCACTAAAATTCTTGATTCTGCCTAGTTCTGTTTCAACACTTCCGTATGCCAAAAACATTCCCTCAATTTCCTGCATACGCTGTGGATGGCGTGCCAGTGAGTCGTTTCCTTGCACTGCTTCATTGTCAGAGTAATTAATATGCTGTTACAACCAGTCTCCAGGATAGCCCGTATTTCTTCCCTCCCCATAGTGGTCGGCACCCAGAACTAGTTGCAGTAGGAATGAGTAAGTGGTTGGTACCAGGTCTTGTAGTTGTAGCTCATGAACTGTGCGACTTGGTCGAGTTGAGGAGTATGGTGTGTAATCTGAATTCCTGAGCAACACATTGTAACTGGATAAAGTACATTGCAATCAGTCCAAAGAAAACTCTAATCACCATTGAAACAAAGTGGAAACGTTAGCACCATTTGGAATGCAGGATTCTTTCCAATTGGGTTGGTATGGTCCACAGTCCACAGTTTGCATCCTGTCCCCAGACATACTTGTACATAAAGCTGCTGCTCCTCTTCCACATCCGCCATTCCTGCTGGGGCTTCTCTGCTGTCACCTCACACTAGATACCCATTCTCTCATGTCACTGCTTGGTCTGCCGCCTTGCCATGTGTCTGCTCTGCTTTGTGATGTGCTTGGGGATTTCTAAGATGCTGGCTGAATTATGCGGGGGGGGAAATACAGTTTTGCCTTGGTGCACTCTGTGACAGTGTATGAATGGAAATCTAAGTGAACAATTAATGCATGATGCTAGTGCTCTCCAGAATGTCTCCGCTTTCTCCACTCTTATAGCACTCTTGCAGAGACCTTCCTTGGGCATCCACGCTTGGTGCTTTCCTGCTTCCTTATTCCTGCAGGTATTAAAGTGGCGCTCTTAGCAACATTGTGTTTAAGGGCCTATCAACACTATTTATTGTAAACTTTGTTTTACAGGGTTTTGACTCGAGACTTAAAATATTCTCTGGACTGAAACTTGACAAAGTCTCAGCCTAGAATCTTTTCTGTGTACCAAGGTCAGACCAAGAGTCATATGTGGCTTTGCAAAGATAAAAGGTTCTTGCACTCTCCCAAAGATCTCGCAAATTGCGCTCATCTTAGAAGCAGGGTTTAACTGTAGTTCTCTTTTAAAAACTAGAACTCTGCTATTTCAGGATCCAGGTTATATTGGATGGGAGTGGTGCATATACATAGTACAGTCTTGCAGTATAGTTTGTGATGCTGTGAAGTACCACAAGGTCTGCAAAGACCACAAGATTTACCTGGCTTACATTCAAATACGGCCTCTTAAAGTCATAACTCCGTGCACGTCAGTTTTTTGCGGCCAAGAATTTTTGTGCCTGCAAAGCGTATTTGTTAGGCACCTACTTAGCCAATGTGTGCTCACAGAACTTGTCTGAATTTTTTTTCCCCATAATGGGTGTGTCTAATTCATTGGGGGGTGGGGAGAGTACACTTTTTCGCAGAAATGCTAAAACACAAATGTACACGGTACCATAGTAGTTCTCACTGATGGTTGGTAAGTGATCGGTGATGTATGTCAAAGCACAAGACATCAGGACAATCAAAATATCCATCTACTGGGTGGTTCATGATGGCCCGATAGGGTACCTAATAAAATGATGAAAATACATGTCAAAACTTGTATTGCTTACGTGGTTTTTTTAAAAGAATATATATAGGCACCTGGAGAGTCCTAGCCAGAATGCTGGAAGGATCCATAATACATGATTTTATAACCTTCTATGAAAGCTGTTTCTTTGTTTTGTTTCTGTTTTTTAAGGAAATTAAATACAACAATCTACCTTGAAATAACTTCAAGGTTGTGTCACAGACAGGCAATATCCAGCCAACACTGACTTGAGGATGGTACTTTGTCTTTAACTTAGCAGTGAACTGTCTTTTTGTTTTTGTTTTCCCAAATGTCTGTCCACGCTATAACTCTTAATAGTGGCTTTCTACTCAATTAGATGTTTAGTCACTTGAATGGTTACAGGTAACACAGTTCAGGTTGTGTCCCTCTGGCAGTTTTCCTGACATCACCGACAGGGCACCTGCATCTACGAGCCCACCTTGATGTTAGCATCTCTTTGAGCTCTTCTCCCATGCTCCCTCGGAAGTGCAATGCAGGAGTGGTATCTCAAAGTGGTATCTGTGGCATGTGGGGTAACGCACTCTCAGGACCAGCCAGTTCTGCTAGGGGTTCCGTACGCACTCCCAAAACAGTGAGGTGAGCTGGTTACAAGAAGACATCATGTGTCTGTCTGACTCCAGAGGAGCAAAACACTGTTAGCTGCCTTACTACCAAGTTCTAACTATGTAGTGTGGATGCACAACCCTATGTAGCGCTAACCTTGCCAGTAACTGGTTACAAAGTTGGTTAAAAATTGTAATGTGGACACAACGTAAGGCACAATACGCATGAATTGAGAACATCAGCCTTAACTCTGACTTCCCTGGCTTTTGTCAGCTTGTATGACATCTTATGGTGGTTTTAAGGAAGGCTTGAATTTAAAACAATACCTTCTGTTTCACTTTCTATCCAATTTTGCCTTTAGTTTGAATTATTGTTCTATTCCTTGGTGCTATTCAGGCTTCTGTATCATGGATAAATTGGAGCAGATCCAATATCTTTTGGCCTCTGCATGCCACTGGGCGTATCTGGTACATCCTTTAATGCACCCCACTAGATTGCTGTTCTTTTGATTCAACGATTCTTCTATAGTTGGCGGCTGCAGGTCTACGTGTATGATCTCTCTAGGAAGGGATGTAAAAAATATGTTCCTGGATTCTTTATCTAAACACTGCCTTTAAGAACCTTGGAGAATTGAATTCGTGCAGTCATCCACTCCACTTCTCTTCTCCCGCCCTGCTTCTCACCCACCTCCACAACACAGATGGAGTGCTACTGTCTGAAAAATTCTTCTTTTTAAGACTCCTGCTTCGAGTGACACCAGTGGGGAAATCCAGCTCTGCCTGCTGTCCCTGAAATACTCTACTTTTGTATGGGTTCCTCAGAGGAGAACTTCTAAACTACTTTGTTGAGCTTACTGCATTTAACTCTTCTGTGTGCTTCTATCAGAGTCCCAAACTATTTATTTTTGGGGGCAGTGGGGCAACTATAGTTACACATCTGTGTAGAACATCATCCATAGTACTGCTAGACTCCTTTTCAGTCCTTTTCTCAATGGTGAGAGCACAGATAAGACGACCCGAGAGAGACAGAGACACACACACACTCTCTCTCTCTCTCCCTACGTTTAGATGCTATTGCTGGGCTGGGTCATTGTTACCACAAAACACCCATGTCCTCTCTCAGGCTGAACATTTCCGATGCAGGAAGGCACTTAAAAATGAGCAGTCAGTGAGTATACAAACAAAGCATCAACATCTCTACAAGCTAATACAACTGGGGATCCCCGTGCTCTGCTCTGAGGTGGTGAGCTCTTCTACGATACAGATTTATTCCTAGACACTGATGGAACAACGGCGAAATGCTGTTACTGTACATAGTGCTCTGGTCTCTGCTGTGCAGGTACAGCACACTTTACAATGGTCTCGTCAAATGGGAAAGATTCCTCATAATGGAGTTTAATTTTTACACTTAGTTATAAATCTACACATCTGTTTTTTGTCAGGTAAACTTGCTACTTTAAGTGACACAGCTTAACGGTTGAACATTCAGTTTGTGATCAGCACTATCAGGAAGTAAAGACAAAGTTCATAGCAGCTCTTTGTAAAGGGGGGGAGCAGGAATTAACCCTGCTGACATCTGGGTCGTCTTTGTCCAGCTGTAAAGCATATTAACCCCATGATGACACAAGGTGGAATTCCAAGTGGAAACAGTAACTATGTTTATGGCGGGAGTTTCATGCTGGCATGAAGGCACAGTGTCTCTGTCCTTACTGCTGTGTACGAGTCCTGGTGCTGAGGGTTTCATTGCTGTGTTCTAGCAAAACTGAAGATGGTTTGGATGAGTTCATATCATTCAGCTGTCAGATTCCCTTGGAGCTGTCTTCTAAAAACAATCTAGCCACCATGAAGTTCCACCTTCACTCCAGAATCCGCCTTTATTACTGCCAGGCTGTAGGAAAACTGTCCAAAGCCAGGTTTTGATACTAACCATCCAGTTATTGTTGGTGGATATCAGTCTAGTTCCAGCCTTGTGGTTATCCTTTGTGGACAGATGACTGCCCTGTGCATAACCTCATTGTCCTCTTCTAAGCTATCCTTGTCATGATGCATATGGTCTATTGACATCTTTGTTCTCCTGAGAACATGAAACACATCTCCTCCTTCCCACCTTTTTACCCCCAACCTACCCATCTTCTACAGGGCTGAAGTGGCAATCTGACTGCTGAGCCACTTTGAAATCCTAACAGGTGGGTTTTTATACATGCATTGCACCCACGTTCTTCTCTTGCATTCAGAATACTTGGAGTAAATTAGGTCTATTGCTTCTTGATGCTGGTATTTCCATCTTGCTAGGGAGCTTGACTAAATCAGCTAGTCCTTAGATGAAGGCCTCAGCCAGCCTCTTTCTGTAGCAGGAGTAAAAACGTTAGTCACTCAGACTTGACTGCGTAATGGCCTATGAAAGATTGCTTGTCAGAGCCTCAGAAGACCATGCTCAAGGCTCGTTGGTAAGCTGTAAACACCAACACAAGTGAGCTGAGGTGCTAATAGTCTGATTCAGAGTTCACATCAATCATTCTGACTTACTGTGTTTGTTTTTTGTCTTCCTCTCCAGTACACCTCCAGCATGAGAGCCAAATACCTCGCTACCAACCAACCTCGCCCAGACTCTGGCAGTGTGCATTAAAAACAACGCAGACACAATAAAACTAAACAAACGTGCCAACTGCTGCTACTCTGTGCTGTCCGTGTAGAACAACCCTGCTTTCCTGTCCCAAACCCAGTGCAACTCCTGCTTCTCCAATCCAGACCATCCCTCCAACCTGGTACCTGTGCATTGGCAATCTGAATGGAAGCCCCTTTCAAATTAAACCTATACCTAGTTGTACCTGGAGAGAGCGAGCAAGCATCTGCGCGAGATCACCAGTTTGTCTGGGATTCACCTACTTGGGACCAGCTTTGTCAACAGTCTATCAGGAAACATTTGCAAATATTTTTACTTCGGTCTCCCCTACCCTCTCCCATTCCACAGAAGAACTGGATGGAAAAATGTTGCAGATCTTCAGTTCTGTGTGGTGAGCGGAGCTACTCAGTCTGTAGGGTACTGAAGAAGCAGAGGCTCCGAGCCCATGGCTATACTGTACAGATCAGGAAAGCCATGCCAATGTACACGCTTAAAATTCCGTGCACTTAGTCTTCTTGCCCGATACCTTGTGCGGAGGCCCTCACCCTATGTCACTGAATACCTACTTTTAGCTGGGAGTCTGACCTGGGCTCCACTCTCTCCTCCGGTGACTTTAAATAAGCTTTTTCTTTCCTCTTTATAACCAGCTTTTGCATTCTTGAGGAGTAGGCGGTTTTCAGCACCAGCCAGCTGTCCCGGATGCACCCCTGCCTGCCCATTGCGGTGAGCCTGACCTTTCTGCTCCATCAGGGAAGCCCCGGTACTCACAGATGGCATTCTGGGCGCTGCTTTTGTGAGACTGGGTGCACACAGAACACACAGGAGCCAGCAATTCACTTGGTGCCAAATTTTTCCAGGAAAAGACTTGTAAGACTTAGGGGTTTTTTGCACTAAATCGTTTCAAATCTCTAGGGCAATAGCCTGGCACTAGGTCTCATGGGACAGTCAACTTGCAAGAGCAAGAGAGATTATAAGGTCCAGTGAACATATAGCAATTGTGACAGATTGCTGGACTCTTCCATTAATGTTTGGAGTAGAAAAGTCAAGTCTCAAGGCATTGGCTTTAGAGGAGGATCCCAGGGCCTCAGCCCAAAGCTCGTCATAAGAGCAGCAAGGTTGCAGCCTCCTTGGTTCTGCGCTCCAGAAAACAAAAGTCTTAAAATATGAATGTTTGGGGGTGGGGGGTTGGTTTGTTAGGTTTTTTTTTCCTGGTCATAACTGCTAACCACTAACTGCCATACACAAGGCACCTGTGAATAAACTCCTAGCACACTGTGCATGGGCCACGGTGCAATGGAGTGTGCCTGCAGGGGGCAGCACCCTACACCAGTTCTGTACTTTCTGTTGAAGAATGGTGCTCTACAGGACATAAACCACTTTTTACTAGAAAAGACTCAACGCGCAGCCGTGCGATAAATGGATATGAACTTTGTACTCAAGTCGGCAAAAGAATCGTCCTTTTGAATTTTCCTTTCTGTGCAAGCCATCTTAACCTAGTTGCTTAGGGAGACTTAAGCAAGAAACAGAAGTAAAGTACAAAATCTCATAAATCGGAGGTGGGCCACAGGACAAACGTGGTTCAAATCTAGCACCACAATATCTGGATTGTATCAAAGGAGAACTCCTTTCTCCTCTTTTAGTTTGCTCTGTATAGTGAATGTCCGTAATGTGGACCAGTCAGCCTAGCAATCTGCCTTTGCTCTGGACAATGATATCAGACTGCTCCAGATCTTGTCCTTTTTCCCTTTACTAAGGGTGAGTTATCGCCACTCTGGGAACATTTTGCATATTCCACGGATGATTAACTAGGATGCCAATACTTCCTCTAGGGGAAGTTACATACTCCAAGAAAAGGGATATTTTGAGACCTCTCAAGGAGATAGAAGCCACTAATGGACTAGCCCCCAATCTTTGGAGGAAGGGGGAAGAAAGAAGGAAAGAAAGTAGCACACTGACCAGTTTTTCCAGGAGAGGAGGTCTCAGGGTAAACGCTAGTTATGTTCCATCACAGATCCCTTAAAGCCTGGTGTGAGCTGCATGTGCGTGGTGGGTGGTATGCAAGCATGTGGCGCGGCTGGCTTACAAGCCTCTGGACAGTTGGATGCTCATAACAGCTGGTATGATCGAGTGGGGAAAACTGAAACCACACTTCATGTTAGAGAGAAACAAATCCCTGTTTTCCCCTAGTCGATTGGACTATTTCCCATGTTGTCTGTCAGCCAGAGGCTGCCCAGACTCAAATACTTCAGGCTTTTAGATTTAGAAGAGCCACCCCAAAATCTGCTCCATGCCTCTCAGTAGCATGGCCTTAGTCCTGTAAGGTAAGTGTTGGAAGAGCATAAAGCAGGAAATAAACTTCAGTCAAACAGGTGCATCTGTCAGCAGCTTTTGCTGTACAAAGAACACATGGGTTTTCCCACTGGGCCTTAGGAGAAGTCGGGTGCAGCATGCCAGAGCCAGCAGTTTCAACGCTGGGAATAACAGAGCCAATACCTTTCAGTGCAGTATCCAGGCTGGAAACTGCCTTAGCTTGCTTCCTTCCCAGGCTTAGAATTTGTTCTGGACAGTACAACCGTTTAAGCTAACAGGGCTCAAAGGCTATAGCCAGTTGCTGATTGGAGATCTGTGCTCTGTGACTTTAAAGTGTACCAAGGAAGAATTCTGTGGGACACTGCACTCCCAAATGGCCAAGAACAAGACTGCAGTGTGCTCTGTGTACTGCATGGTTCCACCCCGGACTTCCTTTACTTGACATGGATTTTGCACTTTTGTAAAGAGTCACGGAGACCTGCTGTCCCACTGCATGTGATGCAGGGACCTCTCTATTTTAACACGTTTCTATTTATTTTTTTATATGGCTCATTGGGCAACAGTGTGGCACTTCTAGGGGTTGGTCCAAATGGATCTGCTGCAGAGCCAGTAGCATGTGCTCATAGCACGGGTGTGAAGCGATCGATGTAGTCTTAAGTGACCAGTCTGGTGTAGTCGGTGTGCAAACCCTGAACGCATGTGGGCACAGCATGGCCAAGGAGTAGACATCTCAAAATTCAAGATCTCCCAGAATCTCTCCCCTCCCCCATCCCCCCATAGGTGAACAGCAGGAGCTTACTGGCAGAGAGTAATCTGTTGTAAGTGGACCTACTGGTTATGGGAGTCTTAGATACAGTGAGTAAAACTGGAGTGTCTTTTTTTTTTTTTTCTCTTTTTCCTCTTCTGTAATTTGTATTGCATTTTAATGTGTGACATGTCCATGCCAGATCACGCCGAATGTTTCCCAGCTGACTTCTCAACAGCACACAATCATCTCAGAATCAAGCCACGTTATTGCTTATTAGTACATGGCTCCAAAATTCAGGGGAACTGAGAGACTCTGATCTCCGGGCACCTGGCTGACCGCAAAACAGGAGGCAGCTCCTGTGTGGTTAGAAAGGTGACAGCAGCAAAGACATTGTTTGCACTTAGGAAAAAAAAAAAGTCATCGGCTTGTCTGGCTTGTTTGCTTTCTTTCCGCTCCATCGTCGCGTACAAATGATGTTTTGATTTTGGAACTGAGACCTTTCAAGCACACCAACATCTCCACAATGTGAAATGTAAATAGCATGTTGGACTCTTGTGTCCCGTGTTCAGAACTGCATTGTAACTGTAAAGGAAATCGAATCAAGACTTGGCTGTGAATTTCTTGTGCTGTCTTGGGAATATAACTGTAGTGTTTGTATCCTGTATGTAATATTAACTGAATTAATTTTACTTGCTGATAAAAGGGTTCAAATGGAGATCGCAGCATCCATCATGTGACCAAACCTGACCAGGGGGAGGGGATTTGATTGCCCCCCATCCTCTTTGAGTTCTCCCCATTATTAATTATTAGTTATTAATTTGTATAGCCAGCTCTGTGGGCACAGGGGTGGTGTCCATTTGAGTGCTTTGAACTGGCCGATTTGCATAAGGGGAGGTTTTGGAAGGGCCCCAGAGGAGGAGTCATACACAAGTTGCCCTTAGAACGTGTAATGTTCATGTGCACAGTCCAGGCTTTCCCAGAAAGATCAGCTTCCATGGGCTGGCCTTGTGCTCTGCTCATTGTTCTTGGCACTGTAATGTGGGTAGCAGATGGACACCATTCTGCTGAGCAAGTGCCTACATGGTACAAATGTTTATATAGATAAAACCCATCTTTGACTCCTAGATCCGGTTTCTTTCTCTCCCCGGGGGCAGTCAAGGCTTGAGGTTGGTGCAGAGACAGCACACTGCCCTTTAGGAGGGAGAAATGGGAGAGCATCACTCTGCTGACTGGGCCCCTTCAAGTTGATTTAAGGGTAGGTGGGTTCCCATCGTCTGTCAGAAGGGTGGTGGTTACATGGCAGGACCTGGAGAGCAGAGGGATGAATGAAGCAAGGAAATGGAGATCCTCACGGTGCCTAAAGGGACAGTGTAGCTTTGGGGGAGAAGGGAACTCTCCTTGTGGCTTTTTCTTTCCCTGCTTTGCAAGGTCATTCATTACTATCCAGGTGTATCCTGCCTGGTATTGGAGCATCATGCAGGAAGACATTGGCTCCACAACCGGGAACTCCAGGATCTGTTCCCTGAACGTGGCCAGAAATCCAAAAGGAGCTGAGAGGGAGGGGGAGTGCATGTTGGCTATCCTAGCACACCTTCCCTCTAGCCCTTTTGGTTGTGTATTTCTGCCAGAGCAGCCTGGAAGAGCTGGGACTGTGGGTGGGAGGCACTAGCACTGTGGACTCTCTATTCCAGAGAGAGCGAGGCTCCTTGCTAGAGGCAGCCTGCAGCAAGGAGTATTGAGGGAAGTCAGGCTTCCAACCACCTGCACTGGGCCAAGAAGCCACACACTCCCACAACTGTGCAGGGACACCAGCAAACAGAGTCAGGTGGAAGATTCCCCCGCCAATCTAGGACAGACTCTGCTGCTGGTCGAGAAAGAGGACTTGGCAGGGCACCCTGCCCTGGCCCTGCATTTCACCCAAGATGATTCACCTTGCATTCGCGGTCTCCCCGCCTTTAACTAGAGGCTGACATCGGGGAGTGACCTATGCACTGTTGGTGTGGTAGCATCAGGAGGCAGAAAATTCTAAATGTTATCCGTTCATAAACTGAGAGTGGGCTGACCTTCCAAACAGATGAGTGGAGCCTCCTGCTGCCCCTCAGCTATCAGTGTGTGGCTCCACCAAGTGTGGAGAAGGAGAGTTGCCCAGTGGTTAAAGCGGAGGGCTGGGAGCTGGGACTCATAGCTCTTACTCCAGACTGCTGCTTGTTTGCTATGTGACTTTGTGGGCAAATCACTTAGCCTCTCTGTGCCTCAGCTTCCCCTTGTAAAAATGGGGGATACCCACCGGTGGGGCGGGTTGGAGATCGTTGACAGGAGGCATGATTTAATTATTTATTTCTGAGATCTGTGAAACTGCCCAGCAATCTGAGGGCCTGGACAAAAGGAAATGGAAAACTATAGACCTGACAATATGCGAAGTGTGAAGTTTTATTCTAGAGAGGGTAACTCCTACCATTTCTAGGCGTTCAGTACCGCATCTCTCCTCATGCGATTCCAAACTCCCTCCCTCCCACGTTCACATTGCAGATCAACCAGCAGACGTCTCCAGGGGCCTGAGATCCAAAGGCAACTGAAGTCAATGGAAAGACTCCTCTTGACTTCAGTCATCTTTGGATCAAACCCTAGTGGCCCAGCTGTTGAATCATATGCCTCGGGTCCCTTGTTAGCAAATGTGAGCTGGGAAATCCCTGTGGGTTTAGTTAACGATCATCTTTAAGATGGAAGTTTTTAATTTTGTTTTTGACACTGTGCACGGAAACTTACTGGTGAACATGTAACTGGCCTTTTTGTAATTCTTTTGTTTTTATTCTTAACCATAATGGCTGTATATCATACCACTTTATATACATATATGTATAATATATAAATATATACTTTTTTTAAACCTTTGGACCTGCTAGTTCCTTTCAAGTATTCCTGCACTTACCTAAAACGTTTTTAAATTGTGAGGGTTAAACTGAGGAGTGAACCCATTTTGTATCTTTCCTTTTTCTTCTGTAGTTTTATTGATTGTACCGTAGCTATTTTTTACTGTAATTTTTGTTCTGAAAATACTAAAAAAAAAACCCTAAATGTAACTTGTGGTTTCTATTCAGCTTGGGTTTAATGTTTTAAAATAAACAAATGAAACTACATAGCACTGTTCTATTTTGTAACTTTCTTTTATTGGTAGAATCTCTTGCTTTAATTTTGACCTATTTTGCCTGTTACTACACAGCTAATTGTACAATGTTGTGTACACTGTTGTGTAAAGTCAGTGGAAGCAAAGGGAATAGAAACATTACTTAGTACTATGTATTGCACTGAGATCAGATGATCAGAGCAGGTGTCAATCCTGCTAATGCAGTGGTTCTTAAACTTTTGTACTGGTGACCCCTTTCACATAGCAAGCCTCTGAGTGGGATTTCTTTTTTCCCCCTTTATAAAAACACTTTTAAATATATTTAACACCATTATAAATGCTGGAGGCAAAGTGGGGTTTAGGGTAGAGGCTGACTGCGACCCCCCCCCATGTAATAACCTCGTGACCCCCAGTTTAGAACCGCTGTGCTAATGCTACCATATGTGCTTTAACTGGTAAAGTTAAGCAAGTGTACAAGTGTTTCCAGAATTGGTACCTTGTGGAGGATATAGTTTGGAATCTGCTAATATGGTCTGTCTCAGGGGTTTATAAGCAGGTTCCAAATGTGGACTCTATTCTGAAATTTGGCGTATAACATTTCTGGAAAGGCTGAAAGACACACCTAAAGGTTAAAGGGGAAATTCTAAATCAAGGTGATCCTTTAAAAACAGTTAAAATTTTCTCTCTACTGAAGAGTCTGCTGTTGGGCATTTGGAAGGGAAAAATACTGGATCCACCGAGTTTTGAAAACTGCTAGTGAGTATTCCTGGTCACTGTCTTGCACAGCACTTTTTGATAGTTTGTCACATTCAGGTGTAACAAGTGCCCAGGTGAAATGGCAAAACTGGTGATTGGAGTGTGTGTGGGTGTGCTCGCGCACCTGCCCACCACACTCTTCGGTAATCTTCATACTCTGCTATGGGAACTGTCCAGCTAATGTGTTGGACATGTCAACCAGGGGACTAGATTTTTAGGATGGTTCCAAAAGCTCACTATCAACTGTTCTCTATAGGGTGCTTGAACCACAACAAATGAAAAAGGGTTAACTTTACTGGTGAAGTTCACTTGACTGTACACATTCCCATATTTACAAATACAATGGGGGGGGGATCCCACGTTAGACCCTCACAGACCCCTTCAGAAGACTACAAAATTAATGTAAACTGCTCCATGAAATCATCACCTGAAGGCAAGATGACTGGGGCCATTTGTAGTTGAACTGTCTTTCCTCCTTACCTGGCTGCAGAGTAGGCAATAAGTGGGGTGTTTGTTTTTGCAGTTCATCTGTATCATCCTCTGATCACAACAGCAAAATAAATCCTTTTCCTTCCTGTACTGCAGTTTTGGTTGATCTGTTGGGTCTACTCGTATCAGTCTTCGTCGAGGGTTTTGATACTAGCTAGCGTCGGTTCTACTCCCTGACCGCTGCATGAATTGAGGGCCACGTGCATGAAAAGATGAAATCCAGGAAACCACAGTAAAGCCAAACTCGCGATAGTGCTGCCAGCTCTTGCCACTCGTCCCAGCTAACTAATTCAAGCATCTTAGGATGGGGTTACTGCGAAGGGAAAGAAATGGGGACCTCCGGAGTGCTCGTGCATGAGGGAAGGAATCGTGAATGGTACTAGGGAGAAGGCAGAGTAATCTGGTAATGGAAACGCTCCAGTAAAAATTTTTTTAACCCAAATGCTAGCATAAAAGCCCCACAGCCGCGGAATTTGCTTTGAGAAACCAGGTATGTTGATCAGACTGGGTTCCGTTTAAGTGGTGGTCATCTGTATTGTGTAGCTCTGATCTGCTGCATGATTTGTGCAGTACTTTAATGTCACCACCAGGTGGCAGCAGGCTCCACGTTGAGATCTGATTCTTCAGCCTCTTGCCTGGGTGAAAGAAACAGGGCTTCCAGGAGAGATTCTAGCTGTAGGGCACAATAGAATGTCGTGGATCACCCTTACGGCTACCTTCCCTTCGTCCTGTCCAGTTTCCTCCTTCCTCTTTCCCCCCCCCCTACTGTCCGTTGCTGTTAATAATCAACTTCTGATCTATCCCCCCCAGAGGCAGAGAGCTCACGGGACTCTGTTCTGGGTATTCTGCTTCCTGCTAGGACAGGGCTTCAGGAGCAACCTGTGCATCAAATTAACAGGAGTTGTCCCTGGCACTGCAAGGCACCTGTAAAACAGATGGGTTCAGATGAGAGTTTGGGGTCAGGCCCTTTGTAAGTCAGTGGAAAGACTCCATTGACTTCAGTGGTGTCTTGGAGCCAGACCGGAAGCTTTTAAGAAGGGGCTGGGTTAGGCTTCTCTCTCCTATAAACTCATGAGTTTTGGGATACGAATACTTTGCATTTCTATGTCATGTATATCGTCTGAGGAGTCTTTACAGACACAAAACAGCCCTGCCGCCTGTGAAGCAGGTAAGGGAATGTACAGGGATCGCTGCCCCCCACAACTGACATGCAGCTATGTTCCACTGCTTGGGCAGCTACTGTTTGATGGGTGTAATAGCTGTTTAGGGCAGGAAGTAAATACAATGTCCCCCCCCAACAGTCCCCCTCTCCCATTTTCCCATAGAAAGCCATTTTTCATAAATCTGTTGAATGAATAAAATTTCTGCAACTTCTCACTACCCCTATTCTAACCAATGGTGCTGCACCATCTTAAATGCATATAAATTGTCAGAGCACAGTTCTGCCTTTTGCCCAAAAGACAGGGGCCTCGTGCTGATTCTGCAGCACTGGTCTGCTGCTGCTCCAGAGGGCTGATTACAGCCAACTGAATAATCAACACCACTGCCTGGAAAGGTGGAGCCTTCTTGTTTAAGTAGTGACCTGGCCTAACCCTGCTCACCTTGTGGAAGCTGACAGGAATTGCAGCACAAGCTCCCAGGGCTGCAGACACATCACACCACTAAACCATTTAACTCAAGAGCCTTGGCTACACTGGTGCTGTACAGCGCTGCAACTTGCTGTGCTCAGGGGTGTGAAAACCGCCCCCCCCCCCCGACGTGCAGCGCTGTAAAGCGCCAGTGTAATCAGCGCCTGCAATGCTGCACGCTCACTCGCAGTGCTGCAAGCTATTCCCCTCGGAGAGGTGGAGTAGTTACAGCGCTGCAAGAGAGCTCTGGCAGCGCGCCTACACTCGCGCTTCACAGCGCTGCTGCGTGGCAGTGCTGGGAAGTCCTGAGTGTAGCCAAGGCCAGGCCAGTACCTTGCAGTGCACATGGGCCATAGGAATTCTTCCCATCTTGCCTCCGACCCTGTTGCTGGAGACCGGAGAAGGGGTGGTGAACCTGGTAGCCCAAATAGTGGGGAAAGGCTTAGGCATCCACTACCTGACCTCCTGTGGCTGGAGACTTCTGTGTTTCTGCTCAGCCATTCACTGATCTAGCAATTGACACCAGTAGGTGGTATGAGCTGGGTTTGGAAAGAGTTCTAGCCAATGGAAATGTCTGGGCAAGGTGTTGGAGGGACAACATGATGGCCATGAAACCCTTGTACTAAAGGGAAATGAAGAAGGAGCCTAAATCTTAGTATGGAACAGGTGCTGTATGAAATGACTCTGTCCATGTGCCACAAATCCTCTGACTTCAGAATTCAGGCAGAATATTTTGAACCAGACAGTTTTACAAGTCCCTGGGGTAAGTCCAGAAGGAATCTGGCTATTTGGTGGTGGTTGTCCCTGAACAAATATCAGGATTTGGAGGGTAATGAGGGTCACTCCTACATCTGAAGATATTATCTCTGGGCAGATCTGTGCTGGTGTATCTCTCACTGTAGAAAGCAGCAGCCACAAACGGTATGCTTGGCTTGAAAGCTATTTGGCACTCTTGAACACTGCTCTGCTGGTGGGAGACTTCTTTGGAATGAGGATAATTTCTATGAAGGGGGTAGATATTTTGCTTTTCCTAGTGTCAATCTGAATCTGGATGAGGATGTGAACTTTCTTTTTACAGTTCTTGCTTGTTAATATAACTGAAATCTGTATCCTTGTACTTGGATCTCAGCTAGGAATAATCTTATAAGGAGAGCAGTTTGAGCTGAGACAGCATTAATGAGAATGCTGTGGCTTTATAGTGCAACTCTTCCAGAAGGCCACCCGTCCCTAGCTGTATCAATACACAGGTACAGTGCCGACTTCCCTATGTTGCCTTGTGAATAACCTGGCAGGACTCGGCTCTAGGCAAGACCACCTTCCTTCCCAAGTAACTGCCAGCTTTGCTTCATTTCATCTCATTGTGGGCCCTAGGGAAAGCACTTGTTTTGTCTGGAGATGAAGTGTCTGTGTCCTCTACCTCCTTCCTCCCCCTCCAACCTTCCACCTGAGATGATTAAACCTGAGCTCATCTCAGAGAGAGAGTGAGTCTCTGGCTTCCACTGGAAAGTGTGAGGAGCAATCATTGACAGAGAGCAAGTGCCTGTCCTGTTCACTGAGTAAATATTTTACCAGGTTTGATATCTCCCACCAGGGCTCAGAACGTGAGAATGCCACCTGCACAATGACCTTTAACGAAGCTATACCTCTCCAATTGCGTTGCCCTGCCCTTTCCCAGCAGGGAGGGCTTGAATCCTCACTCCACACTTCTACACTTCACTGTCTACTCACGCACCAATGTGCAAAGCGCAGCTCTATGCTCAGGGACAATCCCCTGGGAGAACTGTACAGCGAGGGTTAAGTATGTCAGAATAAAGCTTTGTAGATGGAGAAGCTCAGCTGGAAGGAACAATTCTAGGTACTTTTTGGCAAAGGGAGGTGGTAGCTGTGATTTGGGGGGGGCAAAGGGAGGCACAGGGCCACGTTTTCAAAAGCATCCCCTTTTGTGCACTCCACTTGTCAGTTGAAGTTAGTGGCACTTGCAGGTGCTCTGAAAATTGGACTCAGAGGCTCAAGTTGGGCACCTAAAATTAGTGGATGTTACAAAGTTTGGAAGTGAATTGTTCTAAGTCGCACACCAGCTCAGGGGCCATTACGTATAGCTCTTGGCAGTCTCCTTTTACAGAAGAGGAGGGACAGGAGACA